ACATCCTCAACCTACTTAACTTAGCATTCATCTAATTCGTCATTGAGAACTGGTGTTGATCGAAGTCGCACAACCCATTAAGTCATCAGTGAAGCAGGGTGAATAATGCTCCCAGGATAACTCCCATTGTTTGCCCTATGCGGCCTGTTTTCGTAGCAAATATGTTCCAGCCGACTGAACATCGCCTTCCTGTGCTAAATTCCAAAAGCCTCGATTCTTGAACAACCCAATACCAGGGGCTCCGAGTTTCAGTCGATGAGACTGTGACTGAGTTGGATATGCTAGCGATTCAGCTCACCACACCATTAGTAACTATTAGCTCGAAACTTCGAGCAGATGGACTAAACTGCAGAAAAAAATGTGACAAACGAAGTGACAGCACCCATACTGTTTTAAAATCAGAATTACAAGCCTCCTTATGCATCTATGATCAATTAAAACACTGGCCTCGCGAGCAATAACAGCCTTAATCGACTGATGACCATTAAAATATCCCATTTTACCCATTGTAGAACCGGGAGTGATTTATCATCCTTACTTGTCCACCCATGAAACGGCCACAAAAAGTGTGCAAGCTAAACACGAGATTCATCTATGACATGCTTCCTCGAATGCATCACAACTTATGTTCTTCAGCCTTTAATGAGAGAAGACCACTGTCAGGTGCCTTGGGGATAATGAGGTTTTGAAGGCTTTTGAAGAGTGGGTGCTCAGATCCATCCACAAGACCCAATATGATTGACTCGCTGGTGGTCACAAAGACACCAGATTGGCGCATACGCTCCAGAGCGAACATCCTGTCCACCATGGAGCGGGACGAAACAGCATCCGCAACGCAGTGTACATCGATCCCACGCTCCAGTAACTCTAGTGCAGTGCGCTGAACGCAGACATGAGTCTCAATACCACACAGAATTACTGAATTCACATCCTTCTTCAAATCCACCATCGATTCCAACTCCTTCGTAATCATAGAGAACGACAACTTTGGAATGACCGGGATGCCCGAGAGGTCACCCAAGTCTTCAACAGTTTGACCAAGACCTACAGAGGAAAATCACAAATCAACTAGTAATCAGTCACGATTAGACGGCTGCTCTGTGCCTAATCACCTTCTGGCACAGCAGAAAATCGGTCTGCGCCTCATTATTACCTGAACCTAGGTAGTATTTCTTAACGATGGATACTGCAAAATGTACCACTTTAGCGCAATAGGTGCAAAATCAAAGGCTCACCCTTAGGATACATCTCGGTCACGATGATAGGCATTCCGAGCATTTTTGCAGCGGCAATAAGCCGCCCAGACACACTAGTGATGGCAGCAAAATGTGAAATGCTAGACCGAAACTTTTCTTGCATATCACAGACGAAGAGAGCTGTGCGTGAAGCTACAAGCTTCCCCACCCTCGGCAACGCTGACATCTACTAAATGGAGGTAAATAGAAGTCAGCATTTCAATCTTCCAAAAAATTAACGGTGAGATGCATATTCCACACATCACAAGCGTAAAATGTGCGTCTACTACTCAAACATACATCACCAAGTTGTAAAAATGTGAAAACCCACTTTTAGACAAGATTAGAATAATACACACAAGAATACTAAAGGGAATACATGTAACTACAAAAAGAAGATACAAGAAATGCAACCATTTTTATACGACAAACAGAAGAACAAAATAGGTGAAAAGGCCTATATAGGGCTGCAAATACGTATATTCACTCAACTGGATGATAGAGGACAAACAATAAATTGAAGCTTAAAAAACAAGCAATAAAAATGATCTCAGAAATAGTTAAACTGTTTCAAATTGAAGATAGTTGATCGGTGCGAGCCCACGACACTGTAACCGTTCATTCCATATTTCGCAGTTTCCATCAATATGAACGCGTTCTACGCGAACTGCATCGCCCTCCTATAAGCAGAATTGGATGGTTGAACGATTGCGTTTGAAAGCCGAAAAGCTGATTCGCTCTTTTTGATGATACACAAAATGTGGCAACAAATTCAAAAGGAGAAACCTGAATTTCCAAGTGATTGGTCTGAAATATGGACGGCAGCCGCGAACGTATAACTTTGGCGTCAACAGGAACACCGAGAATACCGCAAAGACTGCAATAGGACATGGTGTTCAGATTTTCACTGGCAACTTTCAGGCTTGCTAGTAGTTCTGCTTTGTACTAAAAGTGTTGAAATCAAGAACATACCACCGGGATTACTTATACTTTCAGCAAACAGCATATCCAGTACAGATAGCCATTTGGTTTCCTAAGGTCACTGAACAAAGCGGTCCATAAATTGGCAAGCGAAAATCAAAATCAAATCTAGTATATTACTGGATCAAATCGTTGTACACCGTTGAATTCACCAAAAAATCGGATATAAATCTAAATTAAACAGATCAAACATCAAAATTGGATGGCCATGGAGTGCAACCTTCATTAAACACAGAAGTTGTCTATTTAAGATATTTTGAGACTACATGCAGAAGACAGTCTGATAGCTACCACACTTACGGGAGCCAAATGATTGGCAGGTACCCACCCCCTTCGACCATCGCTGAGCGAACACAAAATCCAGTCCTTTTTTTGAATAACGAATGCCACCATGTCACCTTTGGACAGAGGTAAATCTTCTTTCCTGTCGCCTGGAAAGTCATACAATGCGAGAAGCCGCTCCTTAGGAGCCGGCTTAACCAAAAAGCAGGCGGATGATCGCCCCTGTGAATAATACTCCAGAACGGCTTCAAGGGATTCGAATTTTAGGTTACCAAAAGTGAATTCGCTCGTCTCTTTTGAATAATTGATTAAATAGCGAACTACTTTGGTAATCTCCCTGACATTCAATAACTAGGTGATCTAAACCTACTTAATGGACAAAACATAGCCAGAAGTAGTTGAAGAATCCCGAATTAAAAATGTCCCGACCGGTTGGTTAAGAAGGATTTCGTTTGTTTTTTCCCGGCTGATTTCGCCAAAATACCAACTACATCAAAATTTAAGAAGTATTTTTCACTTACACAGAGTCTGGTGGAATCACAGGGCCATCCATATGATAGTGGAATTGCTACAAAAAAACTTGGATGCCAGACTCGAAGGGTGCTAAAAAATTATTCTCCCGGGGATTCATATAATGATTACAACTATCTGTCCCTATACCAAGCAATAAACGGTATAGGTGCTGGTTGTCTTTGTAAAAGATACCTTCTGAACAAGTACCCAACCGCCAGACCCCACAGGCTCTCGCACGAACTCACATGTCCCACCAAGACCGCAACCCATTAAAACGCATCTCGACCACCAGAGAATATCAACATCTAAATGGATATATTCATGTTGGACAGCAGAGCGGTGTAAAACGTATAACACTAAATATCAACTCCGTTATGGAGTTCGAATGTATGTAGTACATGGAGGCTACTTCAAAAATATTCAATATTACATCGATGACGAATTGATCTGGAACACTTTACTACCAAACACGATAACCAGTTTGTGCTGAAGCATTGTCTCCTTAATGTAAATGTAATTTATATGACATCCACTGGCCCAGCTCCTCCAAAACTAAGAACGCCCGCATCGAAGAGTCAACTGCTTTCGAACCATTCAATTACTTACTAAAGTCATAGTACTTTTGGCGTCCCGAGACCTCTCACCAACTAAAAGGAGGCAATAACTTTGGCTGATTGTGTGATATATACAAAATTATTTAAGTGGACCTACATAGAAGAGAGGCAGGGACCAACACGGAACGCAATTCGCGTTCAGTTGATATCACCTGTTCGGCTCATCTGCATCCGAATTACCATTCTCCCTGTACCAAATACCAAATAAATCACCTGCAACAAGCCCTCTCTTGAAGTCCGAGTTTCAAGGGTAGGAGGGTAGGCGAGCAGTTCCCACAAAATGAATGAATGTATGTATGTATTTGGCACGAACGCAAGACCACAAGCACAAAAAATAATAAAACAGGTGCGTCGAGTTCGTACCTTTCCTCCTTAATACTTCTGGGGGAAACCATACTTGTAGGACTTTTTTGAACTCTTGAGTCAACCTGGGATCTGTTTGGTTCCTGTACTCGTGGGCTGGTCTTCGACCCACGCTCAGGCTCAGTTACTCTGTTTTCTTCGAAATACCTGTACCCAGCCTCACTTGCTGCCTTCTTCCACCCTATATGAAGTCTCAGGACACTGTATGTTCGAATTGGAGTCCCGCTCCTCCCTCCCCACAAAACACAATGTAAACGCCCATTATGCGTTACGCCAAATTCACCGCCAGACCTACAGATGGTTGCATATACAAAGCATCACATTGTCTCACCTTATTTTTATCAACATCCTCTGCGTTCCCCTACGCACATCTCCCCTTCCTGTCACCACAACATATTTGGCACTAAATGGAAGCACTCATGAGCCTACCGTTCCAGTTGTCAGCTATCATGGGAATGAGGGATTGCATCTGGCCTTTTCAGTAGCCTCAATTGAATCCGGAGTCATGTTCGGTTTAAATGCAGGTATCAGGGCCTCATACATCTGTTGATCATCATTGGCTTTCAGAGCTAGACGCTCAAATACTGGTCAAAAATGTGTGTAACGGGGACCACGGATTCGCTCACGGTCCCGTATATAAGACGATCCACAGCAGTGTCTGTAATGCTTTGTTTATGCGACCGCCTGACGTCCGGCAGCCATTTCAGGATTTGTCTGGCAATCGGGCACGCTCAGACCCATTTGCTCTGTTCTCTTCGGAGTACATGTACCCAGCCTCACTGCCTTATTCCACCCTATGAGAAGTCTCGAAATGCTACAGTGTCATCTCCAGCATCTATGCTCGGATGAAGCAAGAGGATCTCCGATGCAAAACTGTCCCGGATGGTTCACGGCGGCATCACTTCAATTGCCAATAGCTTGTTTTCAGAATAAGATGCAATTAGTTCTGAGAATCTCCCCTTAAAGTATATGTACTTCCCCCACACCGTGAGTGCGTGTTACAAAAGAAGAAGACCAAGATAGAAGTCGTTAAAAATAGCCGAGTTTGCTTCCCGCTACCAGCAGTGTAGTTGCCCAGCGCTTCCCACTAGGTGAAAGAAGGCGTTAAATTGGACTGAATGCACATATACATAGGAAGTATTGGAAGAGATTGAATCTTGGCTTGGCTCGAAGACCAGCCCACAAGACGAATACCAAAGTCGTCACCAGATATTAGGTGTTAACGTAAACAATGTATCGCAGACTTAGTTACCAGAAGAAACTGCAACTACTCTTGGCTTCCAACCGAGCCAAAGAAGGTATTAAATGGAGCAGATTACTTGTATTCAAGGAAAAGGGGACAGGATAAGGCTTTACCATGGCCCATGTGGCAAAGAGCAAGTTGAGTTTCAAAATGATCACCAGTCGTACAAGTATCCAAAAAACAACGATACTGTCTCTTTTGGGCGACACCCTCGACCGTCTTCTGCATTCGCATCCCTCACCAGTCGTTACAAGGCATTCGGAGCTGCAATAAGACATCAACAACCCAGCCGTCCCATCCATCGGCTACCATGAGACTGATGGAAACACACTCCATCCTGTCAGAAACTTTGACTGAATCTGGAATTACTCTCGTCCTGAAAGCAGGACTACCTGTATGACTAACGGTCGCTTTGCTCCTGTTCGCGTGGGCTGGCCTTCAGGCCAGGCCAAAATTCAGACCCTTTTTGTTCTCCTTGAATGCATGTATCCGGACCATTTAGCCAAGAACAGGGTAGATACAACAGTGACCGCCAGTCATATAAGCAGTCGAATAAAGCACAAAAAAAGCATGCAATCAGGTTTTTAAATTGTTTAAAGCATTTGGATCTCTCAGCTCAGCTCCAACGAAAGGATTTTGCTGAATATATTTACCCTACGCACAAAAAAGAATAGGAAGATTGCTACTCCCGTGACCAAAGTGCTTGCAAAAGATGACCCAAAGTGACACCTTTACTACAAGCAGGAGCAAACACCCATCATTTTACCTCCTTTGGATGCCGCCTTCAATGTTCCCGTAGTTAGGCTTTGAAGCGCTAGTTCGTTGCGGTAGCAACCGAATTATCATACAGCTGAGTTGAAACTGGATCACAAATTTACTCAACGGTATGAGAACTAGAATGGAAGATGGCGATATGCGACTACACGGCACAAAAACCGACCAATTTAAATAAAGCCAACTAGGACCAATAGTTAACAACGCCTTAGAAACAGTTCTGCTTTCCACTAGGTTGGCATAGTTACATCAATTCGGGTTCTATTTGGCTGGAGTGATAATATCGTTTTGATACGTGTACTGTCCCAATGGAGGTACGAAAAACAGTAAACCTTCTTGTGCTAATAATTTTCTTGCCTTTGCTCAGAGTAGTCACCAACGCCTTCACTTACAGCGCATGCACTTCTTCCGCCTTGTTAATATTGATCACCTACCAGAGAAATCGGGTGCTGACGTTCTTACAAGTGGATTTGCTTTTGGGCACTGCCAATGTACTGCATTTATACCTCCCTGAGATCCAGTGAATGCATAACACTCGGATCGAATATGTACTACTGGCATAGAGAAGAGTTTGAGACTAGTGACATCGCCCTTAGGCCAGCCCACTCAGCAAAAATACGAAGCAATCAACATATGACAAAACCACCTAAAATCTAACCAAAGAGCAGACAGACAAATTGCCTCTCCTCTACTCGTGCCGGGCTAAAATAAAGGTGGTATATAAATGAAACCTGACCAAGTACAGTGCACCCTAGTGGATATATATCAGGTAAGTCGCCTCTTAATTGGGGGATTGTCATCATCCAGTGAGAAGCTCCTTCGACGGCTGACGTACTGACAAAGCCGAAAGACGGGCAGGCCAAGAGCATTGAAGTAGTCTCCTTCTATGCGCTCGATCAAGCTCACACCGACACCTTGGTAGCCGTAGCTGCCTGCTTTTCCTCTAAGCAAAAAAGCAAGTGAAAGGAATTATCAGCTTCGGCAGGCTTTATTATATCAATCAAAGCAAATCTGGTCTTGATACCTCATGGTCAATTGCACAGATACACCAGAACAACTGAACTTTGTGGCGGAAAAAAATCAGCGATGATTTCATGCAAAGAAGCAGTTTACTAGAGGTAAGGCATTTTAATCTGTTCCCCAAGAATGAAACTAGCCAAATGTGGTACTCGTCCGACTCAAAAGTGTCTAAGTTAAGAGTAAAGCGAGACATAATTTTGTAGGCAGTATTTCTTGCATAAGATATGCAGATCAAACACATTGGATTCGAAATTTATTGTTAAATACTTTTCAAAATTTAGATTCTCTAAACACGTTTAACGGAATAATACGAACCAATGCAGGAAGTGCTTATCAATAAATACTGATTCTAGCCAAGCCTAATTTAAAAGTAAAATGAAAAGGAGGTTAAAGAAAGCGAAAAAACTGACACCAGTGAAGTTGCATTGTGTATAAAGTTGTCATAAATACAAAATGTTGCGTGAATTAACACCCATGTAGACAAACTAAGGATGGATATGGGAGCACTAAGTTGCTTTGAACTAATAATTGCTGTTCTTAGCAGTATTGTAAATCCACAAAGTGCTTATTCAGCGTGATAACAAGGAAGACGTAAGCCGAACACTTCCATGAAAATTGAAGCAAAAATAGAGCAATTGAAGCACAGCACCACAATATTACCAAGTTTTGTGGAGTTTTCAACCTTAAAAACATCAAACGAACAAAACTAGCCCAAATTACTCCATTTGAAAAGTAACACACTTTGAACTACCTAATTCAGAAAAGCAAACTTCAGTTTAGAACTTTCCACTCAAGCCAAACATTTGCTGCTTTTACCAGTTGTAAAATGGGAAAACGAATTTTTCATAAATTAACGTTGTTTTACAGCTTTATCTTGGATTCGCCCTCTCGAATCGTAACTCGTCATCCCACCACTGTATAAGAAAAATATTAGATAATAAAATGGGAATTATTTAGAACATATAAAAATAACGTTGCTTCAATACAGCTCCTTAAGACTGTTAAGTGTTCATGCTAAAAGAGAAGTACCACTCACAGGGGCTCCTGCGTTTTAACGTATGCCTCGAGAGCACGCTCATCAAGCTTTCCCATCTGCACAGTGGTTTGCTCCGTGAAGCTCTCGTAGGCGAGCAGATTGTTGTCCATTCGATTTAGCCATGCAAGACCAACGCCCGTAAATACTTCATGCTTTTTGCCATTTAGTCTAAAAAGTCAACTGTAAAGAAAAATAAACTACTTAAAAAGCGTAGTTAAAGCATCCGCCATGTGCTTCGGCTTGCCCATTATCTTACCCTCGAGGGCAATGACTGTGTCAGCAGTTATCACTAAATCTGTTGGCTAAAAGAATCATTAACCACACCACATAGTTACCTTTCTTAGCCGTTTCAGTGCCCCTTCTGACTTAAGCTTGGCTAGAGCCTCCACGAAAGAATCGACTGAAGAAAACAAATTATAATCAAGATCTTCGGACACATTTGGATTTAGGACAGTAAATTGAAGTTTCTAAAATTATAGGCACTAATAGGCATACCAGCCATTATAAACTAACGCATTGCGATAGGATTATCTGTCGTATGCTTGAAGTACTAGCGAGAACAATTGAAAGACCACGAAATCTGGGATATATTGCGGATAACATTGGAATGTACAATATCTTCACGCGCTGACTAAAAGGCAAATAAATGAAACATAAGGGACCAGATTAAGTTTCTGCAACAAACTTCGTATTATTTCATGAGTTGGGGATGACATCCAGATGTTGTCCATCCACATTATCGCCCAACCTAATAAATGGCAGCCTTAATGCCAAAAGTATCGACTTACAAGATCACGAATGAATTGAAAATCACTACTGGTAAAGACAAAAAGAGTATTCACATAAGATATTTAGAAGACAGAATTAACTTAGAATTACAATAGTCAGACCAGAAGAACGTTGCTAAACATACTGAACGACATGAGTGCAATGGAAATTAAATTTCTGTGATCCTTTGATATCGTTTTACGCATACGTGGATTACTGGTCACCTGCCTTTTAATTTCTTGTGCAAAAGGATAATCAATTGACATGCAAATATCACATGAGCTAGCAACACAAGCCTAACCTTCAATTTCACAAACAACCATGTGAATGAGATAGACTGCAGAATTCACAAGATTTTGAAACGTATTAATCACGAACCCTCTGTTAGGAATAAATTATTCTAAGGATTACGTAAACAACAAAAATATTCTTCATCAATGACTAAACCGGAGCAAAAGTTGTTGACAAAATATATAGATATCCAAGGAACACAAATGTGTAAGCCTATGACTAGATGAACCATGTGTCTGGAAAGATCAAGAAAAAAGGAGAAAGAGCATAATCCTTTTGCAGCTTAACTTTGATAAGACAATTATGAAAGCTGTAAATAGACCTAAACCCTAAGCTAAGAGAGCATTAAAAAAGGTAAATAAGGAGCGTTATGTAGAATTCATTTGCGCTCAAAAAACACATATACTGCGGAAAAAATAAGGGCCATCTCAAGTGAAATAGAATCCGACAACGGAAAAGCACCACATAAGGCATAGCAGAAGCAAAAAAGCCTAAATTGTGCTGCGTTGAAAAAAAACAGAGCATCCAGTTAAATCGCCCATATACGATACAATGTAACGTGATAGTCGACAACCATATGACGAGGCAAAGGAATGCAAAGAAATAAAGAAGAGCATGTTTGATTCTTACCACATTATTTCACTCATTCGAATGTCAAGACCTACCTGCACAGTAAACACTAACCAAAAGTCATATACCCAAAGAAGAGGCCTTAGATTCCAGTGACGATCTTGGTGCATTCGAACATTCCAAATCCGAAAAGAGTATCGGGGACATTTCCCATCCACTGACTTTTTCAATACAACTACATAAATTTTGAAGAAAAGTCGCCAAACGGCAATCTCAATTACGGGACTAAAGTGCAAAGATTCGGAAAATCTATATTGATCTTAACTGATTTGACGATCCCTGTCACCTATTGTGGATATTATCGCATAGTCTTGATGCGTTCTGTATGTTCTTAACTGTAGTAATCCTTTCGGTATTTTCAGTCGTCACTTGGTTAAGGCGCTGCCAGTCACAGTGCAGAAATTGGTGAGACAACGTAGTCCAGAGCTGTAGCTCCCCAAAATTTTCAGTTAAGTAGAAGAAGGCATTAAGTTGGGCTAAATGCATGTATTCTAGGAGAATAAGAAGGGATTGGGCCAGCCAACGCGTACAAGTGCGGAATGAATGCCAAAGACATTGCTGAGCATGCAGGTGGCCATACAAACCAAGTGCCACAACAGCAATGGTTCATTATTTTTGAAGATACGTCTGTAGCGTCCCGATACATTTCAGCATGTAGATTAAGGCACCAAGCGGGACTAAATGCACATATTCTGGGAGCAAAGGGAGGAAGTCAGCTCAAAGGTCAGCTCGTTCAGATAAGGGCAAGATGGATAGCCAAGTGAACGCCGGTCCTACAGATAGTTTATTAAGTAAGGCACCGCATATATTATTGATGAAGGGCTCTGGAGCAGCTTTCGGGTTTAGAAGCCAGTCGCAGCCAAAGGTATTTCGTTTGTTGGCTGCTGATTTTGCGGGGGTCCACATTGAGGCAAAAAATACTTTACTGCCGATGTTTTCTCGAAGACAATGGGATTTCTATCGTAAAAACCACTTAAGAAATGATGTGTACTATGTTTATCGAAAAATATTACGATGCGAATATTCGATCACATCACGCTGGTGGATAGCTATGGCTTAGAGGGCGTAAACCAGTGCCATAACCCTGCCATGATAATGGAAGCTACAGCGGCCAGGTCATGATTGACACCAACATCAAGCCTCCAACCCTTTCAGTATAATTGCAGCCGTTTACGGTGCAAAAGTTCTATTAACGATTTACGAGTGAAAACAACGAAGTGTTCCAAAAGTGACTACCTTTGAGTGGCACCAAAAATCGAGACCCTTGATCGAGTATAAAATGAACAAACAACAAAACAGTAACCTACGACTTGCATTTTAAATTTGGAAGATAAAGATATGCGGAGTCAGACCCCGAGCCAAGCTTGATACAACATGGAAGAGTCGGAAGAGGAAATCGGCATGCTATTATAGTTGGATCTCCACTCAATTCATTCAGCAACTTCTCCTCCAGAGGCTTCATCTAGAGGGAATAAGCATGGACTGTATGGTTGTGATAGATGATGCATCCAAGACAACCGAGCCGTCAGTAAATTTGCAGCAACAAGAAAAGGGCAATGGCGTTAGTGCGATTATTTACGTTTGGCTGATGATACTTGCAACAAAGTATTTATTGCTGAAGGAAAGTTCGCTATTAACACAGCGTTGTGCTAGTAAGGCCGCACTAAAGCGCGGCATGTACACCAGCAAGCAAAATAAACTTTGCCGCCATTTGCGAAAAAATTAGCTGGCTGCCTATACACGTAAAATGACAAATATAACCAGATACAAAACACGCCACCAGCCAAAGGGTTGGGGAATAGTGCTCTTAATAAAAGCATAAATTACATGAGTGATGGGCTCTTAGAAAGGACGTGTTAAATTACAGCGTTCAACAAGCCGTTTTTCTACCTTAAAAGGAACATTCGAAACGAGCACTGTTAAAAGGAGGTATAACAAAGTAAATTTATGGAAAGCAATGATCGCCAACATAATTCGCTGAGCAACCACAAGGAAAGATAGATCCCTTCGTAGATCCATCAAGTTTACTAAGTCCTTAAAAGCTCATTAGGTTTGGGCAATTTTGGCCTAGCGTCCATTACAAATGACATTATTTAATTAGTACCATTGGAATAAATCCTAGTTTTCGCGTTTAAATAATGTAGTAAAGCTGGAGATGGCAAGATTTTACACTAGAGAAGGCAGTCACTGCCAATATCAGAACTAAAATGTACCACAATGGTTAAATCGACATCAAAGGCTGTCGTAGTGCATAAATATCGACTAACTGGAAGCACAAAAATGGGCAAAAAAGCACTTGCAAATAAATGTACCATGGAGTTTTCAGCAGTGTGAAGCGTTAAAAGGAGTTACCATAGTATCGACTCCAAACACGACGATACTTTGAAAGTTAGAGAAATCGAAGGTCCAGAGATCATGGCAGTGGAAGCTTGCTCTGCTGCTTTGATTATGGCTCCAGGCCGCGAGGCGCGACCACCACACAAGCGGCCTGTTTAGCTCCACTCCAGCTGCTGTGGTCAGACTTGTAAGGCGCTTATCAGCCAGCAAACTTAGAATCTGTAGCAAGCGGTGGTAAAAAAGCTACAAAATCAGCTTGATAAAGACTGCATACCGGTTCAGTGGATTGTCATTTGTGTTGCAAATACTGACATTTAAGTAGTGCAGAAAAATTTACTTAATTAATCAAATGATACAAAGTATGCAATTAAAAATGTCAGAGAAGTTACTGATGCTTATCCTCTACTTTCCAAAAATCAAGATCATGACAAATTTGCACGAAATAAATAAATTCATTCCTTTCCCATTGAAACGCATGCTTTTTTGAAGAAAGACGATTAAAGGAAATTCACAATCGTTTGTGTGCATATTATCAATGTGAGCAACACATTGCTGCTAAGATCGAAACATCACCATGCCAAAGAATCAAATTTCACATGAAACAAGAGCAATTTTTAAATTCCTATTAAAACGTCACACAAGCACAATCATTCACCAATTAAACGTGTAGAAATGGCAGAAAGTGAAGTTTGCCTAGGACGAAAAAAAACAAGGCCAAAAGACTAATGCGCAAGAATCAGCCTCAATCAAAGAGTAGACTATTTTACCACACGACCGTCCCCACTCCCAACATCAAGTAGGCTTCCAATGGGTCTGTGGGCTTGGGTCTCAGCAAACCACAGCAGCTGGGCCACAAGCTTCAGTTGTTTCGATGTCGCAGGCACGTAGGGCAGACAAATTCTGCGAAACGCAGGAGACACAAAGGGCACTAGAATGTACATCATGGAAGTCGCAATGCTACCAACAGCAAATGCCACAGTTAGACGTGAAGATAAGTCTCTCGCCGGTTTAGCCGCGTCATCCTGTTTCATCTGCACAAATGAATGACTCTAATCAAGCAAAACTTGCCATTTATTTATTTAAATCTCGAACTAAAAAAACAAAAATCACGAAATTCTCCGCTAGAAGTTAGAAAACTAATGCAAAATTGATTAGAACGACCACCAATCAGTAAGCAGTAAGGTTTACGAAAAGCAATATTTCCTCGCATTAGCGATTACTCCTGGTAAAGGTGTCGACATTAGTAAGGCTTAGCGCCTAGCAGGTTCCAGCAGAAAGGGCATACGTGATCGTGCGAATCACGTAACCTTAAGAACTCGCCTTCCCCTTCGGTGTCATTGCGGCACCGAAACATAAAGCTCGATATAGTAAATTTTGCAGCAGATTCCAACGGAACACTAGTAGCACTAACGGCTACTTGGGAGACTTCTCGCCGCACCGCGCCCTCAAGTGCAGAACAAAGCGCTTCATACTACTGCCTCATCGCATCACACATGTACACAAATTTTTCACGAAAGTAATATAAACGTTCCTTCTCCCTTCCTTTATCGTGTCATAATAGCACAAGAACAAGCATATCTATGATGGCATCATGCTAAATCCATAAAACAACCAACAAAACTAAGACATTTTCCGTTACCTAGCAACCGTCTTGTGTTAATGCCATGCAAAAATATGTGCGAATGGCCTAACAACAGTGAAATACTACCTTGGAAATAAAGCTTTGCACAGAACGCCAACCCAATTCTTAAACATTCACTTCTTGAACACAGCACGACACTGTCAAAACGCACAAATCACCTCAGCAAAAAATCTATTTCTGTGAGCAGAAATTTTATTGGACAAAAAACCTAGAACGGATGCACAGAAATTCTTTAATCTTTCTTCGCCATTTTAGCATCGATTGCTGCTAGCCTTTCCATAACAGGCGGGTGAGAGTGAGTACACATGGAATAAAGCCAATCGTAAATGGGAAAAGAAAGATTGTCCTTCGTCAGTACCAGTAAAGCACTTTTAAGCTTTTCTCCTGACTTGAGACCCACGGCGAAGGCATCCGCCTGGAACTCAAATTTGCGGGAAATCATTGTCAATAAAAATTCCAAAACTGAGCTATAGGGCATAAAAACAAATTGGAAGACAACAATCAGACGGATCAGCGTGGGAGCTGTCGAAGGAGGGAATCCAAAGTCGACAAATAGGTGGTCGACGTTTACTAATTGACCAAAAGCAAAAAACATGAGAAATATGTTAATCTGTGCGATGATCAGATTGAATGTCACATGCTTTAACTTCCAGTGTCCGAGTTCATGAGCAAGTGTGGCAAGAATTTCTTCATCGTCACCGCAGCCACGATTTTGAGTCTCATCAGATTTTTCGTCCACGTTCGCACCCGGCATCTTAAAGCCTTTTATTAAGGTATCAAAGAGGACAATCCTCTTATTCTTCCCAAAGCCATAGAAATACGCATTGCTGTGAGAGCTACGCTTCGAACCTTCAACGACATAAAGCTTTTTCAATGGAAACTCAATACTGACAGCCAACTCCTCAATTTTCTTCCTCAACTCACAGTCTGGAAAGCATTCGTAGTGGTCGAAAATTGGAGCAATGAACTCAGGATAAACAAACATTATGATAAAGGAAACAACAAATGTAAACCCGTACGCATAAATATAGAAATAATGTCCACCAGCATTGATAATCCAAACGAGCATAGACACGATCGGCAAACCAATGACCAGGCCAACGGCAAGGGACTTTAGTCTATCCTTTGCGAAAAAGCCAATTGTTTGCTTATTAAATCCATAGCGTTCTTCAATAACAAAATGTCGGTAATAGCTCCAGGGCAATGACTCAAGAAATTGGAAGAGAGCAACATAAACAGTAAAAAGTAAAGAAAATAAGATCTCGTTCCTCTCTGTAACATTGAACGAACCCGGAACATGCGAAAAGATGAAGAGCACGTGTTCCTGAGATTTGTGCCAAACCCAAGCAATCAGTTGAAAATGCAAGATGGCGGACAAAGAGAGTATGTTGTAAAATCCACTAATGATAGCAAAATTCATTTTATCAATGGCGTAGCGCCGAGATTTGTCAAACTCAACATCATTCATGAACCGCCTTACCTCCTCAGGAGATTCTGTAACCTTTTTGGCAACTTTGAGTTGCCGGAAATTTATGTATGTTTCCCATAGGAAGAGGGACCAAATGAATATAAAAATAGCGCAGTACACGCTAAATGAACATGCATGCAAGCCTAGACCACCCTCCAAGAGCATGTTGCGTTAATCAACACCAGTTTCAACAAATAACTCAATTAGTCGATTGGCCCAAACGGTTAATTAAGAGTTTTGACATTATCATCAATTTTAGTAGATTCTACATAGAATAGTATATCCACAATGTCTAGATAAAAAGTGATATATTTATTGAATTGTAGCAAGTAACATAATTTTAGTTTTATCAACCACATTAATCTCCTTCATGGTGCCTTTATAACGGTTAAAAGGGATAGTTGAATAGGATATGGAAAATACACATACTTTTTGGCCTTTCTTGTTGGTTACCAATGCTGTTGGGAATTCACATGCATTGCTGACTAAAGTTTGGCAGTTTAATTGTTAAAATGTAGCCATGTAGACATTCATTTGGTAATGTTAATACATTGAGTGACTACCAACAGTTCTATCGCTGGCACTTGTACGTGTGGGCTGGTCCTCAGTTCGAGCCAAGCCTCAAGCTCTTCTTATTCCTGGAGGACTATAACGCCATAGACGTCTTTTGTTTTAAATGGTTCCACTTTGTAATTTTAGAATGATTCCACCAGGAACTATCTGCTATTTTTGGGGAGGTATGCATGTAACGTTTTGATGATTCTTGAGTGGGTGCCTACAGTGAAGAACCATTATTCTGAGTCAATATGCGATCTGTGAGTCTTAGATGGCCACACAGTCAATCCAGCAAAGCATTACATAGCCTACACAACACGCATTTCTGAATGTCTCAAGCAACTCCCCCTACAGCCAGTCGATTAATTAAACAGACATTCTATCCCGTTTTCAAAAGCTGATACTGTTAAAGTTGCCCTTTGACGTATTCGTGGATAGTGAACCCTTCCACATCAGTGAGGAGTTATCGTTGTAAATTTTCGGATTATCACAGCAGTGTCGACCGTCCTCATGTCATCTCAATCTCTCCGACCACAATTCAAGTGAAGCTCACTCAGCTTCAGAATCTACTCGTAGGTTTGTTGATGCTTGAAGCATACGCGAAGTAGCGGTAAACTTAAGCAATGTGCTCCACAAGACACTTGCGACTGACTTTCTCGCTTTGATAATAGCGTAGCGCAACACAATCCATGTTTTAATACCTACTACTTGAGTTTAAAAATAGGTATACGGCACATTGACGGTCATAGCAATAAGCTTATCGAAGTAAAAACCCTGGAGTCAAGAAGGAAAACCTTGATTCCAGTGAGTAGATCATCTTCAGTTAGGTCAGAGCATTAGTGCTCACGAGTCGTCCTCTCTTCCATTACTCGGTCTCACCGCCAATAACTCGTTACTGAAAGGACCATTTTATCAAATCAAAGGAGGAAGCATGATGAGAGAACTGTCTAAATAAGCAAATATAGATAAGAGCCGTTCAGCTTGCGTACAAAAGGTACTCGAATAATGTAAGTTAAGTGGGTTAACCAATGGAATGCTTGAGAATCTATGGAGAAGTGCTGCATTCACGCCTCGAGTGGCGATACTCTGCGATCTGTAGAATACTGTTTAGATGAACCAGTGCAGCCAAAACTACGAAGACGTGAAAGATCTGGTGACTTTGAAACTAAAAGGTTAAAAATCGAAGGACCCATAAAAGTACTTCGAAAGACGCGAAAATAAAAAATAACGCGACTTGAGAAAAATACGATGAAGTGTAAGGAGGCGTGTTACCTAAAACCTGCTTACCCAAATGTCAAATTTTCCAGGATAGAGACACTCGGGAATACGAAAGGCATAGATAAGAGCACCAGTAATATAGAGTAAGGCCATGAGGGCCAGCCAGCCCACACCAGAGGAATTGATAGTGTTCCAGAATCCCTCCAGGAATACATAGTGCACAAATGGCACAACCGCCGAAAGACCAAGGCTAAGAAACAAACCTGAAAATAGAGCAGATGAACAAAATTACGTGTTCTGACATTCAGGAATCCAAGCGCGTCTGGACTAGAAGCGTTTAGAATTAAAGACACCAAGGATCACTAAACATACTGCTTCAATTATTAGTTTTATCTGGAACCCTTTGTAAAGATTACACCAAAGTCAAGATCATTTAAACGAATCTGGAAACCAACCTGCACGAACACTGCGATACTTCGGTGTGCAAAAGCGGTCCTGGCTACTGATTACCATGCAAATTACGCCCAAAATGATGATCCCACTAAGGTATACGATCTTGGAAGGGACGTGACAATAGAAGGAATAATGTATCCAAGGTACAAACGAACCTATTATCAATAAAGCGATGCCCATATAATCCAATCTAAAAGGCGGAAAATGGATGTTAATTCCCATCACTAAAAGACATTCACGAATGTATGGATGGAGTGGTTCGAAAGCATCCTTATTTGCCCTGTTATATTTATCACTTATCCTCAACTCCAACCATCATCAAATTAAAATTCAAGTAATGAAATAGACACTAGAATAAAACGTTAAATTCAATCAAAATTTGAGCAATCTTCGAAAAGTTAACACTGTTGTAGGAAGCGTAAGTTAGGGAGGAGGTCTTTACGGCTGGCGCTAACAGCCAACGACGAATAAAAGTTAACGGCGAGCCGGCTTAAATTGGACTATGAGTATATGCACAGGCATAGAAGAAAATATTGCTTCAGATAATCGGCAACGGCTACCAGAATTTAGCACAGTTTAAACACTTGCAAAAGATTTCAAAGTTATTTTTAGACCTGCGTATATAAATTACACCAAACAAGGATGATGACAGAATATAGAAGTATTTTTAATGTTTACTTGCTGAAGAGACGACCAACGGGTTCGGAATAACAATAGACGGTGTGGAAGGTCCAAGAGAAACCAAGTGCGAGAATGGCACTGATGAAGAAGAATGTAATTACAAGGGTCTCGTCCCATGGTAAATCAAGGCCGGGATGTACGAGGAAAGAAATACACAGGACGAGGAAACACAGACAACCTATGAAAAACAATCGTGGAACTTGTGAAAAGTGGAACAATTCGTAGTGACATTAAAACAATTTGGCAAATTAAATGACATGCATTCAGCGACAAAACGCCGCGAAACGTTTCGTGTAGTAAAATTAGTACATGTATTTCCCAAATGCATCTGTCCAATCATTACTAGAACATGCAACAGCAAACAATTAGGTGTGGCCATACCTTTTAAGTAAGAATATAAAGCGAAATTTAGAATTTAATTAGCACCATTTGCCTTTGCAACAAATTAACAAAGACGAACCAATAAGGTGAGTCCAAATATTTCCCGTCTCGGTGTGTATGCGAAAAATGGAGCGAAAGCACTGTTCAAAGGAGGTGAGCTGGGGTCGATGTCCCCAATGGAGATAATCATTATCTCGCAGCCACTCAGGCAGGTGAGAATAGTGCACAACGCGCCAACCAACACGCTCCCATAGTTGTATCATGAACTCCTCTGCTTGCTCCATCGCTCGGGTTGCATTCACGAAGAGATTATCCCCAGCTCCGCAATAACTAGCAGAACGGCGGTGGTTTAGCAGAGGGGTCTCCGCGGCAGGGGGAGGCGAAGGCGTTGCTTTGGATAAGACAAGAGGATGACGAAAGTATTTGGCGTTTTCTATACTCATACCAACAGAACGAGTGCGAATATGCCTTCTCCGTCGGTGCACCACATTAAAGGGCATCTGAAATGACCACAAATATACAATGCTTTATCACAAATAAGACGTGGGTAGGCTTACAACTGAAGTGACCCCGTAAGTTAAGCAGATAATTTGATCAAATCGAAGAATTACCACTGATACCTACGTCTTTGGACTGATAAATCACCTGGAAGCAAATGCGTGATATTGTTGTCATTGTTGAGACCGTCAGAAGTACATGAGTACACGAGCAAAGTACCATAAGTAAAAACAGTTCCACAAGATGGCAAAATAGCAAAGTATAGGATTCATAAAAACCAATTCATCGATAACAGCCAAGAAAAATATAACCTGACCTTGGGATATCAACAGCAAACCACAATTTCACAGTGAGTACACGAAGGTTGAGAAAAACAGGGGAATTTCTAGCATCAACTAAACTAACGAATCAAAGAGTGTATAGGGAACCGCAAGTTCCAAAAAAAGGAAAAAAATGCGCTCGAATAGGCAAGGAATAGGTGGAAAGACACTCACTTCATCAGGACAGCTTGTAGGCTCAGACATTCCAACGAGATGAATTCCTGAGGCAAGTGCAGACAAAGCCCTTCAAGTGCTACAATAAAAAATATTTATGTTCGTTAGTACGGTAAAAACCACCATTCGTGCTGCCTATGATTGACAGTAAATGGTGCTAAACAACACTTACTGACAATGTTCTCGGCCTATTATGCACGACGAAATAAGGATGAGTATGCAGCAAGTCGGAACATTACAGATTCAAAACCAAAAAATTATAATAATTAGTACCTGATGTTAAAACAATGACAAAGCCCTTTCCTGCTGCAATATTTAGGTATACAAACGAAATGAGAAGGCCCTAAAGCTTGTGTTGGACATCTGTGCGTCAAACTATACAGAAATGGACGAAACAACAGCATTTTATGTGCGACAAAAAAGGTAACCACCAACAACACTAACTAAAATTTTTTTACTCGAAGAAACTGCCAAGCAACATATGTTTGTACCTGAAATACAAACATGCTGATGCTACGGAATGTCAACGCATTAAAAGGGAGATAAACGACTTTAAAGCAAAAGTACCACTAAGATTGCAAAATCAAAAAGGAATTTACAGAACAATGGACAAAATACAGCCCAGTTTCCTAAATAAACAAAAGAGGAATCACAAGATAACAGGAACTAAACGGGAACACCAAAGGGCAAAACTTTGAAGTGCGATATAAGAAGATAGTCTTTATAAACAACATATCATCTTATATTATACATATCAATAAACTCATTGTTTAAAAAAATTTAATTAATAAAAAGATACTAACATTATTTGATAACCTCTTTAAAAAGTCTTCGAGATCAAGGTTATTTATTCAAGCTTGCAGCATTTCGAGGTTTCCCAAAGGGTAGTAGAAGGCATAAGTGAGGTTGAATATATGTATCACGAAGACCACAGGGGAA